TCGCTCCAATAATTCTCTCTTTTTTTCTCATGATATCATTTTCTTGATGCAAATTTTATAAAATACTTCTGTTTATTTTCATTTTCACAATTTTTTACAGCTCATTTTAAAGGACACGAATATGTCGAAAAATAGAAAGGAAATGCTATGGTTTCGTTACGGAACCATTCCATCAAGATTTATAATCGTTGAATCATCATGTAATCGTCGAGATAATAGATATAACGGTTACAAACTGCGACAGAGTAATTCCGTCAGTATCTCCCAATATAGAATCATTAACCTCATTAATATTACAAATTTTTGTGTGACCTCCCTAATAATGTAATTTTTTTTTTAAAATTTTAGTTCTTTTTATAGTATATGAGATTCTACTTGATAATAGACTACTTATTCTTTAATTTCTATATAATTCATCATCTTTCCATCAACTTAACTATTCTGAGCCAAATCAAAGTCAAAATTCACATCTACAAACACTTCAGAACATAATTTTTGTGTAAACAATACTAATGAATCTCACACATCCAAAATACATATCTAATCAATCTTTATTCTACACACACTTAACGGCCTTTCCTTTAGTCCGTTGATGAAGATGAATATCTACAAACCCGAGCTTCACCATAAACAAGCCCACGCCTGCAAAAATACCCATCATTAGGGCTACAATGCCTATCCTCGGAGCAAACACACCCACCTTCCAAAGCACACCCATCACCACTCTCCAAAAACCCGTTTTCCCCGAACAATATCTCGTCCGACCACCCGCCCGAGAACACATTTTTCGGGTCGAGTATTTTCTTAGCCTTCAAAAACTTTTCGAAGCCCGCGTACTTTCTCCTCACATCAATAAACGCGACGTTCCTATTCTTGGCCCAATGCGGCTTGGCTCCGTACTTGAAAAACGCCATTTGCTCGATTTCTTCGTAAATGTCTTGATACAACCTCGGGGTCGACTTTCTATCGGCCCGGAAGTAGTTGAAGTCAACCGCGACCGAGTCCTCGTCTTGTCCTAAGTAGGCTGTGGATTTCTTCACGAAGCGTATCAATATGCCATTGTACATGTCGAGGCCGCAAAATGCGTCGGAATTTAGGTCACGCAACTTTCTCACATCGCGTATGAAGTTGGCGAATTTCGAGGGCTGGAATATGGCGGTCGACTCGAAGAAGAATAGGCCATTGATTCTCGGGTCCCAAGGGCAAATGGCGGACTTGATAGTCTCGGAAGAATATAGACACGAGCCCGAGGTTTGCATTTGGGCTTGGTGACCGATGACCGGGTAGCCAGTGAAGATTAGTTTATTGTTTTTGAGGCCGTTGGCCGTTAGTTTCTTATATGCGACGAAGGAGGTCGCGAGTAGGCATTTGGCCTTTGCGTCTCGAGTTTTCTCGGCGGCTTTTTCTACATCGATTATCGAAGATAATGAAAAGGTTTTTCAACATGATACAAGCTACTTAAGCTATAGATTCATATATTTAGTACCACATTTTAGTTTAACTTGATTCTTATACACCCATACATGAAGTTTAAGAAGTCTTATTAAACAAGGCATAATCATGGCATGTTAGATAAATTAATAATGAGAGCAATGTATTCACTATTTAGTAAATTTTGAAAAAAAAAATCATGTAAACATTTACCCAAAGCTCGAATCGTTTGGGTTGCAATGGCGGGATTTGATTGAAATCCTATAAAATCATTGACTCCATCTCCGGACTCGTTCAAAGGAAGACGATTGTCGTATCTGTAAACTGCAATACGTCTTGACGGGTACCATTGGATGTCGCCAAACTCGTGTTTCTTGGCATGCTCCATGAACTCGTTCTCAATACCATCATCGTTCGTGAAGTTGTACATGATGCTTCTTTTAAACCCGCGTTCTAACACGAATGTCACCTAGAAAATGAAAAATCGTAATTATATTGAATTTGATTGAGAACAAAAAAAGAGGGCATAAATTTCACAATTTAATTTGATGGTTGATAAAGAATAAGATAGGTTAATTCTTTGCACTAGGGTTTTTTTTTATGATGATTAGTCCATTTCCTAGTCCTCATGCTAACGATTAAAGTTGAGTTCTAACAGTTAAACAATCATATTTTTTTTTTTTTTGGTACAGGGACCTTCCGATTTCCGGATCCACAAGGGAACCGACTAATCTGGAATCGAGCCGGGTAGGACCACAAGGGCGGCAAAGCTCATATTTTTTTAACAGATGTGCACACAGACCTAACGGTCAGACCATTATACTTTTAAACATATTTGTATACTTTCAAACTCAAATGGCGTAATCTAAAAAATAATATAATAAAAAAGTACGAATTTTTTCTTAGTATAAGTAAGCATTTTAATTAGAAAAATATGCACATAAACTGCCTAATGATTATTTTTTTTTAGCAGATATGTATGTTTTCGTATGTTGAATTCATAATTTTATCCTAATAAAAATCATAATTTCATCGAATTCAATTTGAGGAAAATAAAAATCATAGCATTATCTGAGAAACTAAAATATCTACTGTTTCATAGGTACTGTTAATTTCAAGTCCCAAATAATGACCTTAGAGACCACGCCAAGCGTTCCGAGCGACAATCTCGCCGCCTCGAAGAGCGGGTCGCCGGCCCTCAGGTCGAGCACCCTCGCATAGCCCTCCTCCCCGCCGGCCGCAGCCACCAGCCGCACGCCGACCACGTGGTCGTGCAACGCGCCGCCCCTCCCCCACCACGAGCTCCCGTGGGCCCCCGTGGCCGCCGCCCCGCCGGCACTCGCCCCCTCCCAGTACGGCCCCGCCGCCAGGCTCAGCCCCTCCTCCGCCAGCCGGTCTACCAGCGCCCGTAGCCCGACCCCGGCGCCCGCCGTCGCCGTCGGGCCCCCGGCGTCTACATCCACCGAGACGAGCCGGGCCGTGCTGATCAACAGGGAGCCTGCAGGCCCGTTCATGCTCGATGGGCACGCGAATCTGGGTATGGTGTGGGAGAACCCGGAGACAGACTTGGCCCGGAGCCCGTTGCGGACGGCGTAGGCGACGGCCGACCGGAGCTCGTCCTCAGTGGCGGGGTAGGCGGCGGCCGAGGCCCGGCAGGGCTCACGATCGGGCCAGGCGCCGTACGAGTTGTTGAGGGTGCAGCCGGCTCGGTCGCACTGGATCGGGTCCGGGGGCGGCATCGCGTGGGTGGTGGGGGCTAGCGTGCGCCATAGGAGAATGTGGAGTACGATTAGTATTTGATTTATAGCCATTTGAGTTCTTTTTTTTTTTTTCTAGGAATTTTAGTTCTGAAATGAGAAGTATAAATAAATATTAATTGTAACACAAATTCCTTTTTTTTAGAAATTAATTTGAAAAAAAAAATAAAAAGGCAGTTGAAGAAGAAAAATTTAGTGAAAGCAAAGTGATATAAGAGTATTGAGCTTTAAAGCTAAGTAAAATAGGAATGGATATATTATATATATGACTTGGATTGAATACCAAGTTATATAAATAAATATGCATGAATTGGAAAATGATCAAACATCAATTTATTCTATTCCAACTCCAAATTGATACTAATGTTATATAATTTTTGTTGGGAAATTCCAACATTCTTTTTTTTATTTTTGCTATATTTTATTTGTTCCGTCGACACAGTAGATTTTCGAACGATTGAATTATTAACGGATAAAAGTTTTCCAATAAAATTTTCTAATAACAAAAATGAATATAATTACAATATAATATTTTAGAATTGATCTCCGTTGAATGTTTCGAACGAAATTTAAATATTGGAACATCCATTGCAATACCCAATATTGTTGCAATTAATATTAATTTTTTGTTGAAATATGATAATTTTTTGTTGTATATATTACCCTATATATCTATCTAATTAACTATTAACTAGTACATATCCCGTGCGATGCACGGGGTGCACAAAATTAAGGTCATTTATCAAGTCATAATTATATGAATGAATAAAAAAAATGTATGGGATATATATATAGTACGTGACCTGTAATAGACCAAAATGTGAACACGGGTGATGCACGGGGTGCACAATTTTACGGTCATTTATTAGTAAAGAGTCCGTGTGATGCACGGGGTGCACAATTTTCTAGTATGTGTAATACAAATACATACCGTATGCACGAGACTGAAGCAATAAATGAGTTATTTCCACAGAGCTTTCCCA